TTCCTCTTTCATCGTGAACTTGATGTCATCGGTGCCACTGTTTGTCAATGGGTTGCAGGTTGTAGTTCTCTCTTTTTGATGATGAAAATAGGGGTGGTCTGCATAGCGTACCCACTGCTCCGGATTGATATCCGCAACACGATCCTCTCCAGGTTTTGCATTGTGATCTCGGGGATAAACACTGAAATTGGAATAAGTCAGCACACTGGGCCAGGCAAGAACAGAGAAAGAACGCGAGTTCATGGAGGCGTGGTACTCGACTGATGGAGCAATAAACAGACGCATTGAGATGGATCCTGTCTACCAGCCTCTGAGGACAAAGAAAATCCTGAACCACAAAACCCGAGGCCGCACAAGGACTCGAAGTAAAAGTCAATAGAACAACAAACTACTAGAAATAAGAGGCGGGCTGTAAACCGACAGAGAGGCGGACCACGACGTAATACAGATTAGGAATGGACCAACCGAAAGAGACAACAATGGACGGCAAGTTCAACAGTAGTGTGGCAGTAGGAAGCAAGAAATACAACCCACAACTCAACACAGATTAGGATTGGACCAACCAGAATCCTGGTTATAGCGCAAAGGGTACTCTTTGTAAATTATATAAACGCAGGCACGAACAGAGGGACTACCCACCCAACAGCGCACTGAAGATGTCTCCTGGAATGGTGACGAAACGTTTGTATATCAATTGCCAAGCTCGGCGGATAGATCGATAGCCACGTGATCAATTACCAATAGTTTTCTTTCTCCTTCGTCATCGACGGGGCACCATAAATCCAAGCAATTCGTGACAAACGGGAAAGCCTTTTGTACTCTGTTGTTGTCAGATCCATGTTGAAAACCGATGACGAAAATGCAATTGGTTGAAACATTTAGCCGAATAGATTTAGCATCACGCACATCCTCTCAAACAATATCCTCGGTCTTATTAACAGTACTGAGTTTTTACGTGCCGCATTAAACCAGCAGAATCTTGAGAAAGATAGTGGGTTTTTACATTACATCTTGGATTCGATCATCTTTGGCGGGCTGAGGAAGCGCTCCATAATTTACGTGGATCCTGTGGCTATGAATATTTGTTGTGTTTGACAATCGGTCATCGGTATGCAGTCATCTTCAATCGTGCGGTGATTTTGTCAAGATTGGGTTAACCGTCAGTTTAACTTTCCGAAGGGGCTGAACTGATGGTGTATTTTCTCAACTCCCTGGATGGCAGAAAGGCTGTTTGCCAACGTGTGTCATATACGTTTTGGACGTGAGACCGGCTGGTCAATAAGGGCAAAGAAATCATCAGAGCTGTGGACTATATTCATTAGAATTCAAGGTTGATCTCGCTCACTGCTTACGCCAAACAGACGTAACTGCAAATGCAATGTGATTATAAGCATTAAAGTTTGATTTACTCTCGAATCTGCTTTAACATTCAGCACAACTTAAAAATCACCAACATTAATTTGTTGCTTTTGGACACGTATGACTGCAGCGATCAAGGATTTTAAAATAGAATTCGATTATATTCCTTGGAAAGACTCTTTTATTTGGTTGTGAGCGAAATAAATCCTGCACGTCAGGCGCTAATTTTGGGGACAGTTCTAATAGTGGCAAACAGCAAAGCTGATCTTAAAACCCGGATACCTTGTTTGGATTCTGATCGGGAGCATTATATGAGAGGTTGGTGCTAAATGTTCGACATTGATGCTGTGTTTATGCATCCAATAGGCCTGTTCATGGACAATGCAAACGAAACAGCCAGTGGCCGTTTCCAGTGGGTGCATAGTGGGGAAATGAGATGCACAATTCAACGCAAAACCTACGTGAGTGATCGGGGGCCGCTGAAATGTAATATATAATTTTTGATAAATAACAGCGCATCGACTACCAAACCCCATGATATCAGACCCATCGTAATTAGAGTCATTTGTTTCGCCCACAAAAGTGCACTAGAAAACACCGGAAAGCACAAATGCAGAGTTAGTTCCCTAAAACCAAAGAGATTTTGTTAATTACATTAGGTAATTGTTTTTCCCATTCCTCAGGCTAATTCAGTACCCTTCACGTGGCTGCTCAAGGTCAAAGCCTGAACTGGTCTATTTTATACATAAACGGTTTTTCTGTAGTTGATTTGTTCACATACTTTTCTGGGTTTGTTGCTGAAAATTTGTCCCGCTTTGATCTGAACGATATTATTCCCGTTTAATTTTTCCGGTAGCACGCTGCCCTTTCTGTGTCATCCTGTATTGTTCATTTCCAAGCTTTCAAACTAGCCATAAGACTCCTTAATTCTGCTCACGAGCTACTGTTAGCTTCTTGTAGAAACACGGTCTACCTGTCTGTACTGTCTGCCAACAACCAGTCCAATATACTGCTCGATTGCGACTACTGAACAAACTCAGGTGAAGTTCGTAGAATTCGGTTTTGCCGCGATTATTACTGACCGTCCGTTGGGGAAAGAATGGAAGATACCCCCAAAAATCAACATTTTAAGACAATCCTGAAGGTCATCCGTTGGCATTATATCGCAATTTAAATTTCGTCTCAAGTCACGCGTTCAACCGATCAACCGCTAACGCTTGCGCCAAATACGAACTGTGTTCAAAACGAGAACAAATCGAGAAAATTTTCGCCCCTTGTTTACTGAGATGTATGCTTTCGAGGTATGAGTGTGTCACATCATAACTAGCGATAACGAGACTAAATCAGCTTTGTCAAAAGCGGTCGTCAAATATGACGGACAATTTCAACTAGAAGCGTTCAAATGGGTTCGATCCAAATTCCATTTGAAATGCTTCTATGTACAACGGGGACCGCAAATCATTCAAGCTTCGCACAGTGTGAGAACCTGACATTGGTGCGCATGACTGTGCTTCGCTTAGTACAGTCTAGGATTTTAGTGACTTTTTATTTGGTCTTTTCTTACGCTCACTTACTAGTAAATGTAAGCAAGTGACAAGGCTGAGCTACTTCAAAATGTACGATGGTGCCATGAAACAAGAAGTGCAAAGTTTGCAGGTTTCTGGATGTAAATCCACGTTGTCGATATTAATGGGGATGCTTTCGGTCAAGACGGAGGATGTTCCTTTTTCACACGTTGTGCGCCGATGAGATATTTACTTTTATTTGTGATGGATTGTGAACCCCGATTTCGTGTTTGCAATTGAGGAAACTAGCGGCGTAGGGCGTTACTTCCTTGCACCTCTACCGGCGACGGATACCCATAATGTTCGACATGAGTTGTAATACGGCTGGGGCAGTTTTGTGTAAACGTCTTTTCCTTATCTCTTTGGTTGCCCAATGTGTCTGAATTAACGGGTGCGAAATCGCAAAGTTCTCTGCACAAAAGAATCACCTCCGGAAAACTCTTACGCGGTCACCCTCATCTACTTCTTTGGAGTAATTTAGCAGTAGGATTTAATTATGACTGGGCGTCATTCATTTACACTTCGGGTGACACTGGTTACTCACATGAAATTGATTTCTTGCTGTAAGAACAAAAGATTGCTCGTTAAAGCCTCAATCTCACATCTCGCTTTCAGTTGCTACTTTCATTAAATGAATAGGAATTCATGACGGCCAATCAGGCAGATGAGTACATTTTGGGTTTTGAAAGTCTGACTAAGAATCATGTCAGCAAAGTCCTGGGCTCAGGTAATCTTAATGCTGGTTGGCGTGTAAGAGACAACGTCAACCTAGTGTGAGAAACACTAGTACATCTCTGACTGTCTGTCTAAAACGAACTGAAATATAATGCGAAAAAGAGATATGCCTTTATTCATGTTCAGTGCAAGACTACAATAAGGATATTTGTGACCACAATATGGGGTGCAGAAATCACGTGGCAATCATCGAACAAAACGAGTGCACTTACAATTTAAAGCTAAGCTCGTCAGAACACTTGAATCAATAACTTCTGCTAACAGTTCGCCAAATGTCTATCTCAACTTTTCCCTTTTAACTACAGCTATCCGTGCCCCCAATTATGTTGCACCACACTGAATATGTTTTGACTGTAAGTCATTTGCCTTGAATTTAACTGTGCCCAGTTGTCGACGGACAATAGGTTGACTGTCATCACATTTGGTACCCTGGCCTCTTGGTGTGTGAAATGCGGCATACGATTCGTTGCCTCGAAGGATGGGTCGTGGTGACTGTCACTGCCAAATAAGTAACTTAGACCGCAGACTGATGTGCCACCCAAATGTGGCTGGGTGAGCTCCACTAAGCTATCGCGGCTGAACGCGGTGGCCATGATTGCGCTGGAGATTCTCCGCTTGCAGGGTTAGCCGCAGCCTCTGAGGTTTTGTCAATCGGACCCGAAACATGCAGGCTTACCAAATGATAAATGTAACCACTTCTTCTCGTCGATCACTGTTCGAAATCCCTTGTTGGAACTTATAAACTACTCATTCAGGTGCAGTTNTTTGTCGCAATCGGATAAACATTTTGCTTTTCCATTCAACCTAGATTTTTATTTTTACCTTTATAGCTTTACAGTAAATATGATTTTATAATTTATAAAATATTATTATTACTTTGAGCGTTTGAAACACTAGACGTGCTCATTACTTACCGTACTGTGTCATAAAGCATCAATGTTGTTTATCCCCCGTGCATAGTGGAACACAAAGACATCTTTTTGAAAAATATAGACAATACTTGTGAAAACAGGTTTATATCTGTGACTACTTTCCACCAATGCGTATGAATTTTTTGCACCGGTGCCCATGAAAGAATTAGTACTGATTAACCTTAATATCGTAAATATATGTCGAGTGTAACTAAGCTGCTTACATTTTGTCCATCGCTGCCGAACTACGGGAAAAGAACAAAGTGGAGATTACACGCACAGGGTTAATAAGATAAACATTTTGATTATCATCTTATACGGATTAATTTGTGAACAGGATTTCCGCCCTGGCGATCGTAACTTGAGCGTCACAAAGAATGCAGTCGAGTCTACCTTGGGGCTAAGAGTTAAGGGGTTTACACAGTCCGTTTGCATGAAGTGCGTCTATCTGATGTCCCTCAAGCTGTGCCGATACATTTGTCCGCATGCTATGAGTAATCGTTCAATAAAAGTGAGTATCATGAAAGGAAAACATCTCGACCCAGAAAGAGCAGGCGCATCTTCGCTGGAACGTTCGACTGCACAAGTTTAACGGGTGTCATAATATGGTCGAGGATGGGCAAAATGTAACATGTCTGAGAATATACAATTTCTTGCGCTAAATACCACAATGGTAGCTCACGAAAAAGCAAACAGGTTACTCTCGAGACAATGCTCTCGTGAAAGTAATTTACACTGACTTACGATGTCTTATAGAGTTCCATATGCTTTGCAATTCAAAGTAGTTTAATGGTCATACTGAGAGATGTTTTCAGAAATACGTGGAGTGAAGTCAGGCTGCAATCCATTCATGTCACATAATACCAACGATCCAAAGTTCGTTATTGTTGCAGCAGTCAGAACAATACCTGAAGTGACCAGAAAACGGATCCAACCAGAAACCAACCACGGTACATTAAAAGCGTTGGTACTTGCATGGTGCAAGATAAGTATAAATACATGGCGATAACAAGCTTCAATGCAGGAAAGAATTTGCTAAAAATGCACTTCTGACTGACTACACATATTCCTATTTTATTATGGTTTCTTTAAGTAAATTGGGGAGTCGGAAGATGCAAAGAGAACACACAGCCTCAAGTCAAACTTCCGTTCATGAGGATTCTTTTTCAATCGTCAGCCGTCATTCGTTCAACACGAAATGATTGAATTTGAGTGGA